AGCGCCTGCCTGGCAAGCGCAAGGTCGTGAGTTCGGTTCCCGGTACCGGAGAAAAACCAAAAAAAAAATAAATAAATAAAAATAAAGTGCTTTACGTAAACTATGATATTGTAATTTTTCTAAGCATCTTTCAAGGGGTAGCAAAATTATGTTTATGTACTAATTCTGGTCAGAAAAATAAGTCAGGAAAACGTGGTATTCATTGGATTTTAACTGAATGGAGCAGTTCCTTCTAATCACAACCGTATAATAAGGATAAAACATTAACTCAATGTATTTATTTTAAATTGTTATGTATTCTTAAATTGCCAGGAAAAATAAACTGTTTCATACATTTAAAAAAAAAAAAAAATTCAAGCAGTCAGGAGGCTGAGGGAGGAAGATCACTGTGAGTTCACAGCAAACCTGGGCTACATAGTAAGTTCAAGGCCAGCCTGAACTGCATAGCAAGATCCTGTCTCAAAAAAAACCACTGCCATTAGTCCCTTTCAAAATCCCTCCCCTCACTTTGAATACTTATCCCATCATTCTTGCCACTTTCTTTTTTGTGTGTGTTTTGCTTTTTTTGAGACAGGTCTCACTACGTAATGCAGGCTGGCTTCAAACTCATGGCAATCCCGCCTCAGCCACCTGAGTACTGGGATTACAGATGTGCACCACCCCACCCAGCTATAGCACTCTTGCCACTTTCTGCAAAGTTCTAGAAGTCCTCTTTTGTGAGTATCTTTATGAGGTGTGATAAAAAACATGGTGAACGCTGCTGCTGAGTGCCAACCAATGAAAAGGCAGGCTTGCAATAAAGCTAGGGTGCGTCTTCAGCCACCTTATGCCCTGGAACTGCCACCACGTGACTTCTGGCTCCTCTTCAAAGTCAAAGTGACTACGAAAAGTAAACGGCACACTAAAGACACGAGTGAGGACTTGCACAGCTGCTGCAAAGTGGCGAGAGCCAGGGCTGTGTTTAAAGCAAGGAGTATTCTGAGGGCCAGGGATGTAGCTCAGCGGCACAGCGCCTGCCTGGCAAGTGCAAGCCCTGAGTTCCACTCCTGGTACCAAAAGAAGAAAAAAGAAAAGAGAAGTGAAGGGAAGGGAAGGGAAGGGA